CTGTTGGGGGAGCAGTTTCATAGGGTGGCATTTAGTCTCTCTGGTGGCATTTAGTCTCCCAGAGGCCAAGGTTTCAAGGAAGAAATTACTTCAACCTACAAGCGTATTGATCTCAATTGCGTACCCCCCCCCCCCGCCCAATCTGGGCCTCGTTGCATGTGTCTATATACTCTTAAAGTTTTGGGGGTTTTGGTTTGGGTTGGATTTGCAGTGCTAATAACTGAGACTCACACATGCAGGGCACGTGTTCGACTGCTGAGCTACATCCCTTGCCTTGGTGGTTCTCTGAACACAACCAACTAACCAGGTCTTTGGCCTATAATCCACATGTTCCTATTTTAACCAGAGGGTGGGGGTGGGGCATCATGAAATTGCCTTGAGTCTCCAGATATTAGCATTGACTCAGCTCCTGTCCAATGTCAAGGACATTGCAAATTATAAAATGACATGCAAGGACTTTCCCCAGGTCACATAAGGACCCAGCAATGGCACAAAGAGTGAGGGACGGAGCAGGAAGACAGATCCTGGCACCCCAGGTCAGGACACTCAAGTGCCAACATCTCCCCCACTACTCTGTCCCCACCCCCACGAGTGTACCCAGTCTCATAGCAACCTCATGGTTTCTGGTGTCTAAGCAGTCCACCACAGTCCCTTCATCATTGAGCACTAACCCAGGGGCTGAGCGCATCCCACAGACCCCCCCACCCACCCCTGCAGGACCCCACCAAAGCGGTACTTCTTCTCTGCTGCCACTGAGCCTCACTTGAGTCTTTTCAGTTGTGAGAGCCCCAAAGAATGCACCTTGGTGAGATCTCCCCAAAGCCACCGAGGTTTGGTTCAAGGCCTCTGAGGTGACCAGGTTCTAGGGCACCCTGCAGAGAGGACACCGGATAACAAGGTGTTCTGGGGGCGGGGGTGTCATTTCTAAAATGAGTTCAGGGGGGTGAGGCGGTGGCTGTGCTTCTCAGATCCTCCTTCACGTAGGAAGTTCTGGGTTCTATCCCTGGCATCGCTAAGTAAGATAAAATAAAATAAAAATAAGTTCAGGAATTTCTCAGAAGGGGAAAAAAGCCAAGACACACCAGCTACAGCTGAAAAACAGCCACTTGTGGGGGGTGGTGGGGGGGCGTACAGGAAGTCTTTCCTTAGAATTCCAAGTGGTCCTAGGAAGGCCCCCATTAACCTGTGACCTTGCGTATGCTTTGCGACCTCACCCATAAGATGGGCCTCACGGGGGGGAAGGGGGTGACAAAGATGAACAGGGCTTAGGCGGCAGAGAAACGCCCAGAACAGAGCACACTGTGAGCTCTGTGCTTGGACCACTTTCTCTTGGCTGATTACAATTGCAGCAACATATGTGTATGCTGACAAAGGGAACGAAGGCCCGGAAAGGGACTGAGCCCGCCGGTGCCCGGTACCAATCAGGACGGGACAGCAGCTGAGCCCGCTGCAAAGCAGCCCCCTCGGCACCTCCGGCACAGCGGGAAATGACATGCCTTCCCGTTTTAGCAAGAAGTCATTTGTAATGTAGATGAAAATCATATTTGATTAGGTCGTGAGTCATGAGATAAAGGAGCTCTGAAAGAAATGAGGGTGAGAAAGTTGGTCTGTGCAGGACGATGCCAGGGAGCGCGTGTGAAAGCGCCCGGCCACTGTCTGTGAAGCACCACAGCACTCACGGCTGGGAGAGGCAGGGAAAAGCATTCGCCTTGCAGAGACTGGCCCTGCTTTGATCCCTGGGACCACACGGGATCCCCTGAGCACCACCAAAGATCACTTCTAAGCACAGAGCCCAGAGAAAAGAAGGAAAGAAAGGAAGAGAGGGGAGGGGAGGGGAAGGGAGGGGAGAAAATCTCAAAACTGTTCAGTGTCCCCCCACACCCCCACATCTCTCCTACAAAATGACCATTTCTTTTGTTTTGGGGCCACACCTGGCAGTGCTCAAGGCTTACTCCTTACTCTGTGTTCGGGGATCACTCCTGGCTGGCTGGGGGTGCAGGGGATTGAGACCAGGTTGGCTGTGTGCAGGGCGAGCACCTCCCTGCTGTACTCTCACTCCAGCCCCTCCCCCCCAAGTAAGACCCTTTCACGTGAAAGCTAAGGAGACTGTAGTGGTTTGGTCTGTGTGTCAACCTGACTGGAGCCGGGATGGAGTGTGATCTGGAAGGTTATTTGGGTGCATCTGCTGAGCTGCACATCGGAGTGCACTGACTGAGGAACACGGGTGGTCCTCCCGAAAGGGGGCTGTGAAGGCCCCCAACAGAACACCCAGTCCAAGGAAGGCTTCCCTCCCAGGGTGACGGCAAGCGCACTGCCACTCCCCTGCTCCTCTCAGCCGAGAGCTGCAGCCCTGGCTCTCAGGACTCTCCCGTTTGCAGAGAGTGGGACTCCCCCCATCCTCATGATAAACCTCTGCAGAAGGCACAGATGGGTCTTTAGATACACCTATGAGGGGTGTTTATACAGACTTGTTTATAGATACCTCTGAGGAGATCTATACACACTCAAATTACACATGTATGTGCATTTTTGTTTGCATATTTATGTATATATTATGTACACACGGTATATTTGAGGTGGGCAGGAAGTTCACAAAGCACAAGGTTTCTCCTGCTCTACGCTGCCAGACCTGTCTGTCTGCACTCCCTGACCTACTCGCATGTCTCTAAATGCTCCGGGAGGTGCTCTGGTGAACCCTGATTGAGGCACTTGGTGTACCTCCTTACGCATGCACTTATATTCATACATCTGTACGTGCATATGTGAACACCCATCTGGATGCCTTATACAATTACGTGTGTTTCTATCACTGTTGCTATGTAAAGTGGAGCTTCACACACTTAAGGACACCCGGGCATCTGCAAGGAGCCAGGGAGGTGCTAGCCAACAAATACTGAAACGAGCTGCATCCTCAGGCCCCCTCCCGGAGTCTGGACCGGGGGAACAACGAATAGTCAGGCCACAATTTATCCTCGATGGGAGCTGAGAAATAGTACAGCAGGTAAAGTGCTTGCCTCACATGTGGCTGATCCATGTTCGATACCAGGGATCCCATATGGTCCAAGTGTAATTCCTGAATGCAGAGCCAAGAGTAACTACTGAGATTACCAGGTGTGGCCCACAAACAGAAGGGAAGGAAGGAAGGAAGGAAGGAAGGAAGGAAGGAAGGAAGGAAAGAAGGAAGGAAGGGGAAGGGAGGGAGGGAGGGAAGGAGGGAGGAAGGGAGGGAGGGAAAAGGGTGGAGGAAAGGAGGGAGGGAGGGAGTAAAGAAACAAGGAAAGAAGGAAGGAAGGAAGGAAGGAAGGGAGGGAGGGAGGGAGGGAGGGAGGGAGGGAGGAAGGAAGAAAGGAAGGAAGGAAGAGAATTTATGCCAAAGTTTGTGGTGCAACATCCTTGTATCCAAGACTCACAACCAACATCTCCGCAGAGAAGCTCCCATCCTGCTCTGGAGCCAAAGCAGCTGGGGATGGGGGCACCCTCATCACCCCTGCACAGAGCACTGATGCTCTTTGTGGCATAAAGGATGCTGGACAGTCCCAGCTCAGCCATCTGCCCCGGCAGTGACTTTGTGGCACAGACAGGACCACAGCCAGGCCTCAGGCTAGCCATCAGAGGGTGGCACAGGCTGTGGAGCTTAGCATGTGCTGCTCAGTGGTATGACAGCTGTTAGGGGTCTGCAGAGGCCAGGCTCAGACGTAGCGCAACTGCAGACAGCGTGAAACCAGCCCAACTAGTTTAGGAGGCAAATTCAATCTTAGAAACCAGAAAACTTGTCTGGGCAGGGATGGCCAAAAATGTGGAGAATGTGCCCCCTTAACTCGTTCTACAGGATCAGAGGGTGAGAACCTTAATCAGAAATCTGTGTTTGCAAGTGTGTGTGGGGCTGAGGGTAGGTAAGAGAGAGAAGAGACCAGTATACATAATAGCTGGGACAAGATCTGAGAATAAAAGTAGGTAGAGGGATATTCTTGATAACCTTTAAGTACCAATATTGCAAACCACAGTGCCCAAAACTAGAGAGAGAAAAGAAGAAGCAGAAGCAGAAGCAGAAGCAGAAGCAGAAGAAGAAGAAGAAGAAGAAGAAGAAGAAGAAGAAGAAGAAGAAGAAGAAGAAGAAGAAGAAGAAGAGCCCCTTCCATACAGTGGGGGTGATGGGAAGGAACCTGGGGTCACTGGTGCTGGGAAATGTACCCTGGTGGAGGGATGGGCGTTGGAACACTGTATGACTGAATCCAATCATGGACAGCTTTGTAAGGGTCTATCTCATAGTGATTCAATTAAAAAAATGTTTTTAAGGTTGTTTGTTTACCTTTTTGGTTCACACCCAACGATGCTCAGGGATTACTCCTGGCTCTGCACTAAGGAAATATGGTGGTGCTTGGAAGACCATCTGGGGTGCTAGGAATCGAACTCAGGTCAGCCACATGCAAGGCAAATGCCCTACCCGCTGTGCCATTGCTCCAGCCCCTTAAAAAAGTTCTTAATTGAAAAAAAAAAAAAGAAATCTGTGTTTGCAGCTATGTCACGGTGTGCCTTGGGGATCAGTCAGGAAGGTATGGACTGATTACTCCGGGGCTCTGCAAGCCATCCCCTCTCAAGGCGCTCTTCCTCGATGGATTGCTTTCCAAATGAGCCTCTTGGGACTGTGCAGACAAGATGACTGGGTGGGACCTGAGTCCCGCCATCCTCCAACCTGCCAGCTGAGGCACCAGATCCATCACGGGGTCTCTCGACAGACCCTACAGTGGCAGCGGAACCAGGCTGCAGCCCAAAGCGGCATCCAGGCAGGATCCCTCAGAGGCTCTGCGAGTCCTGGCAAGGGCAGCTACGCCCCGGGCTGAGAACTGGCTGTCGGGAGTTGTGTGGCAGTTCCAGCTGGATGGCAGTCGGTGACACTAGGCACCTTCTCTCGAGTCCTGCCCACCCGGTCCTCTCCAAGGACCACCCGGGCATCAGGGAAGCACCGGGCTGCAGAGAGGCGGCGTGGGCAGCGATCGCCCCATCCTGGAGCCCCGCCAGGGCAGGGAGGAGCCCCGCGGAACCGCAGCTCCCACCCAGGGGCCGCGTGCAGCCTGCAGCCTCCCCCTGCGTGGGCTGCAGAGGTGGGGCTAGCACGGCCTCTCTGGCAGAGCCGAGATGCGGTCCACTCCTCTCCCGCCGCCCTGCAGCAGACCTCAGGCTGAGGCATGGGCACCCTCACGGGGCACCTGGTGCCGGGCATCGTCCTCTACGGCGTGGGCCTCTACTACGCGGTGCTGGCCTCCCGGGCCATCCTGCGGGGACAGAAGCTCCTCTCCCCGCCGCTGCCTCCGAAGGAGAAGCAGGGCCAGAGGTGGTGGCAACGGGTGCAGGTGGAAGGCCTGGTGAAGGTGGGGGCGGGCATGACCCTGGTGCTGGGGGAGTTCTTCTTCCCGCCGGGCGCCAACCACTTTCCCCTGGTGGACTGGGAGGACCCCCGGCGGCCCTTCCGGAACCACGACTCGTGGCAGCACGCTACCATCTTCGGGGTCTTCCTGCTGAGCGCACTGGCGGACTTCGCCAGCCAGGTGTGGCTGGCCCGGCCCAGCGTGCCGCTGGAGCGCGCGGCCACGGCGCTGGCGGTGGCGGTGCTGCTGCTGGAGATGGGCGCGCACGTCGAGCACAAGGACGCGCTGGAGGTGCGCGTGCACGCGCTGCTGCTGCTGCCCGCGGTGCTGATGCTGCTGGTGCTGGCGGCCGAGGTCTGGGCGCCCGACCAGCCGCCGCTCTGGATGCTCAAGGCCTGGCTCACGCTGGTATTCGGCTCCTGGCTGCTGCACGTCACGTCCATCCTGTACGCGCCGCTCTCCGGGCAGCGCTGGAGCGCCGAGAACCCCGTGGACCTGGCCTTCGCCGTGACCTTCTTCTGCTGGCACCTGGGCTTCGGGGCTGCCGCGCTGGCCGCCGTCTACAGCCTCTGCAGCCTCTGCCACCGTCGTCACTCTTCCTCGGGACTCGGGGGGGCCTGGGGCAGCTACCAGACGTGCCCCATGGACGACAGCGGAGGCGAGCTGGAGAAGCTGCGGCCCCGGGGACTCAGCTCGGGCCAAGGCTGTCCTCCTGCCCCCAGTTGCGCTCTGTCTTGCTCCTTCCCTGAGCTCAGTGAGGAGGCTGAGTAGGTGAGTGGGGTCCCGTGTGGTTTCCCCTCTCAGTCCCGGCTCCTGTTTCCCGTCCTCCAATAAAACCGACTGGCCTCCGGGATGACGTGTGATGTGTGACGTCCAACGGTCAAGTGCTCTGTCTCTCTGACACACTTTCCTCTGGGCTCCAGGCTTTCTCCTCTGCTCCTTCTGGAATCCAGAGGGAGCACCTACGAGGCAGGTGGCAGGAAAAGAGCCGCCTGGGGTGATGGGGGATGAGGGAGGATACCCAGCCTCATTATTCACTGCTATTCTGGGGGGTGGAACAGATGGCCATCCCTTTGTACTGTTCCGGAAAAAGTTAATTGCTTGTCCTTGACCTTTAACCAAACCTTAAGCTATAGCCACTTTTATTTACTTTTTTTTTTGGTTTAGGGGCCACACCTGGCCATGCTTAGGGCTTACTCCTGGCTCTGTGTTCAAGGATCACTTCTGTTACTGCTCAGAGGACCATATGGAGTGCCAAGCATGAAATCTGTGTGAGCTGCTCAATCCATTACATAGGAATATAGAATGTTCCTCCTCTATCTTTGCACCTCCCAAAACTAGAATAATAACCAATGCCAATTAAGGCTAAATAAGTAAGGCCAGAGAGAATGTAGAGGAAGGAGGGAAGGTTGGTTGTCTTGCATCTGACTGACCCTTTCCTATCAGATACCACATAAGGTTCCCTTAGCACCTTCAGGGGGCGCTCCTGAGCACAGAACCAAAAATAGACCCTGAACACTGTCAAGTGTACCCTCAAAGCCCTGCTCCCTCTCCAAGAAGTAAGGCAATCGCTTTGCATGCAGGGGGCCTTGTATCAGACCCCTGCGACCCCCAAGCACAGAGCCAGGAGTAACCCGCAGACTCTGCCAAGTGTGACCCCAAAACCAAAACAAACAAAAAGGTAAGGTGATAATAAACACAAAACTCAAGAAGAAGAATTCCTCTGAATCCGTGCTTGATCCCCAGCACTCAGCCCACACTGGGGTGTTCCCAGGCCTCTTCAGGAGGGATAAACAAAACACGGAAATATCAGATGGGACCTCTGGGATGAGAAACACAAAATTGTGTGTTTCTCACAATTCGTCTTCTTGAATTTTGTGTTTATTGCTTGAGACTGAAATATTGAATGTGGACATGTGTGAGTGTATTTGTATGTATATATATATATATATATATGTTTGTGTGCGTGTATGTGTGTGGGGGGGATCTTCATAGAGGCTCTCCTCCCCCCTTCTGTGACTGTATGTGTTTGCAACACTTTCATTTTTCTCCATCTCCCTTGGTTCTCTTTCCTATTGTAGGTGTAGGTGGTGTTGTTTTAGTGGTTGTCATAAAAAAATAAAGCTGACACTATCTTAGGCCATAGCGATAGTACAGCGAGTACAGCACTTGCTGTGCAAGCAACTGAAGTAGTTTTCCTCTCCAGCACCCCATATGGAGATGAAAGGAAGAAGTGGAAAAAGGAGGGAGTAAAGGAGGGAGGAAGAAAGGAAGAAAAGGTCCATAGCAGGGTTGGGGATAGATCAAGGGAGATTATGCGGGCCCGGGAGAGAGCACTACAGGCTGAGCACAAGCTCTCCATGCAGGAGTCTCAGGTTCAATCCCTGCTACCACATGGACCCCTGAGCACCACAGGGAAGGACCCCCAAGTACTCAGCTGGAGTAGCCCCCGGGTTCTACCATGTGTGACTCCAAAACAAAGCAACCACCCGAAAGTTTCCATGAAATATGGGCTGTAAATGATCCCAGTGGTACCCAAGATGTAGGGACTCTCAGGGCTGAGAAGGAAACTGAGAATTTCAGCCCCCTGGAGTTCACAGAAATTTCCAGAAAGTCTTTGGACTCTTCCCAGAATGAGGAAAGGAGGTGCAAATAAATTCTGATGTCAGATGACACATTATGTAGATGGAATGAAATATAGTTCCAGCCAGCTCTATAGAAACATGAATCCCGTGGTGTTATTGGAAGCCTTCCACGTCTACTGGCATAAGCTTGGTTATATGGAATGAATAAATACAGACTTGGAAGTCTGGAGGGCAGAAAAAAGTGAAGAGTCACTCATCATGGACATGGAGAAAGGTCCCAGACTGAACTGCTCCCTGTCCCATAGGAAGGCTACTGCACTTCCAGTGAGGGGCTCACCTGAGACGGTGCTCCCAGTAGGATACTTCCCTCCTTCTGTCCAATGCAAAACTCCCAGCATGGCTCTACTGTTGGATCCCACTTTCTTCCCTCAACCCTCTATCCTAAACATTACCCCCCTGAGGGCCAGGTCTTGAGAGAGAATGTCCTGGAAGTCACTGTTAGGGAAATCCCTGAGGAGTCATGGAGCTGCCCTGCTCCCTAAATGGCCACCTGAGTGTCTCTGGTCTGGGAGGTTTCTGAATCCTACCTGACGCCTCCTTGACAGAGCTGGACCCAAGTAATCAATCCCAGCTATCTCCTCTGAGGCAGATAAAGGCCTCTCACGGGACTCAAGGTGTGCTGAAGTGGATAGAGGAAGCAGTGAGGGAGGGTACACATGCGTACACACACACACACACACACACACACACACACACACACACACACACACACTAACTATAAATGAGCTAGGAGCCAGAGAAAGAAAACTTGGGCATTCCAAATGCCCATTCACAGCGCCAAAGTGAATGACCTCGTCCGGAGGCTGGGGCAGCCCAGCCTTCCCCTAGTCTGACAAGAGGGATGCCATTGTCCCAGGAAGCTCGAAGGCCCACGTCACAGGAAGTTGTAGGTGCTGCTGGTCCTGCCTTTCCTTCTCTCCTGCGGCATCTCACCCCACTGCTTCCTTCTGGGTCCAGCCAGCCTCCTCTCTGCTTCCCTGTCTTCACAGGACTTCATTCTGCACCTGTGGCCGTTCACACCAACCCCCGCTCTCCCCAAGGAGGTCCTCCAAGCGTTTGATTAACAGGATGTCAGAGCTTGTCTGCAGCATCCTAAGACATGTTTGACTCTGTGAAGGGCGCAAGTGTGAAGAGGACCCTCTTGGGGTCTGTGCACCAATCCCACCTACGCCGCCAATATTCCAGGAACCTTGGGATACTTAGAGGATTCTTTGCTCAGGTTCTTGCAGTCTTGCCCCTTTCCAGCTGTGTGTTTCCAAGCAGTGCACTTACCCTCTCTGAGCCACAGTTTCCAGGGAGGCAAAGGAACTGGGAGCGACCTTCCCCAGTCGTGAGGCTGCCACAGGCCAGAAGCCCGCATCATAAACCAAGCCCTAAGGAGGCTGCTAGCAGTGAGGGAGGTCTTTGGGGCAGGAACTGTGCCCTGGAGAAGAAATGGCAGGAGCTGAGCCTGGCAGGCCTTGTTGGGGAATAATCAAGGGCCTGGCTGGGCCACAGTGTGACGAGACTTTGAAACCTGGCCCTGCCCTCACTGGTGGCCTGGGCTTCCATTCCTGCCTCTTACTCCAGAAACAATAACCCGAAAACAATAACAATAACAATAAACAATAAAAAACAATAACAGAAAACCAACAGGCCAGTTCCATACATGGACTCCCGGGGCCGGAGAGATAGTGCTTACCTTGCCCACAACCAGCCCTGACTCCATCCCTGACACCGCACAGGGTCCTCCAAGCCCCACTGAGGATCCCTGAGCACAAAACCAGGAGAAAGCCCCGAGCACCACCAGGATGTAGTCTAAAAGCAAACAAATCAGCTGCAGACAGAGGTTAGATGATGGGGAAACCACCAACGACTCTGAGAAGCAGGAATGGAAGCCTGAGGAGTGTTTGATAGGCCGTCCCGGCCGGGGAGACAGGGAGCGGGGAGCCCAAGAGGGTGACGCCACCTCCAAGAGAACAGGCAAGAGAGACCCTTTCGGACTGCTGAGAGACCAGAGAAGGACTAGCCAAGCTTTTTATCTTACGATCCACCTGCTTCACTGGCCAGGAAGGTGAAGGAAGAACTTCACAAGCAAAACCCAGTTCAGACTCCAGGGCTCAGCTCTGACGTGACCGCAGAGACCTGCCCTCTGGGGGGTTGCCGGGGGTGGGAGGGGGAAGGAGTCAGTCTGCTGAGCTGGAAAGAAGGAGAGGCTAGTGGACCTGCAGTGGTCACAAAGTCTCCCGAGAGGACAGGGCCACGGAACGGGGCAGTGTCTGTGCGTGCGGAGTAAGAGGTGGAGAACAAAAGATGGCGATAGACAAGGGAGGGGTGCTGGACGTGGTGCAAAACCCCCTCCTCATTTTTGTTGTTGTTGTTTCTTTGCTTTGTTTTGGGGCCACACCCATCTGAACTCAGATCTTACCCCTGGCTCTGTGGGATACTCCCAGTGGGGTCTCAGAGGACCAGGTGCAATGCTTGGGGCTCCAACCCAGGTTGGCCACATGCAAGAAAAGAGCGCTACCCACTGTACTATCCCTCTGGCCCCCAAGCTCCCATCCTTAAGTTTCTGTGCCCACCATGCCCAGGGCCACTTCCGGGGTCTGAGGCCCTTCTCCCTCTCCCCCTCCTCCCTTCCTGCACCTCCTTCCCCCTACCAGTACAGAAGGAGAAACCCACCGTGAGCAACCACGCACCCCAGGGCCTGTGAGGGTGAATTCAGGCCCTGACAAAGTTCAGCCCACGCCGTGTCCAGCGCTGGACAGGATTTAGTGGGCTCCGCTGAGCACAAAGCCCAGGGCAGAGGGCCCTGGTGGGTGTGGGCGGCCCCTTCCACCCCCACTCCGTTTCCCAAGGTCTCTCCTGACAGCCCGCCCCCAGCTCCCGTCACTCAGGTTAGGAAAAGGACAATTGTGAAGGGGGCCAGGGGCAGGACCGGAGCTCCCACATCTGTGTGTGCCACTGCTCTTTGTCCCTGCCCGACATCCTATCTGAGTCTCTAAAGAATCCTCTAAAGACCCCACAGAGGCTACGGACCAGGGCTCGGCTAACAGAAAAGACCGTGAAGCTGGCCCTGAGTGCTAAGTGCAGAGCGAATCCCTGGAGGCGGTTTGGAATTTCCAGGCTGGGCTTCCTGAGGACTGGGGGGTTGGCTGCAG